TCATAGGGTGTCCCCACCCTTATCCGAAAACGTCAAGAGAACGCAGGTTTCCCTCATCCCTTATCCCATTCGTCCTTATCTTATCCCCTTTTCTTGTAAGGAGAGTTCGGTGATCTCTTGGACAAATCACCCCCTACGACAGTCAAAATAGGGCCTGTACGCAAGGCCAAGGGCAAGGAAAGGTTCGAGGCCCTGACGACGGAATGACCCGTGACACGATCCTACGTTCGGGCCCATAACAGGTTTTACATGGTATCAGAGCCATGAAACAGGAGCAAGAGGTCTGCGTTTCAAGACCTCTGGAGATCAGTGGCGACAGCCACGATTGTTCGGTACTCTTCAGCAATTAACGCCTGTTCAGAGACTCTTAATTTGATCTTGCAACATAAACATGGCTTACGAGGCCAAAAGTGCGGAAGAGCTCCAGCAAGTCAGGTTCGCGAGTGTCTTCCGACAGATTGGTGACCCGAACTGCGTTCTCTTCGTTTCTGCGTTTCATGTCCATACCACTTCTATCCCCACCTCCTCTCAATGTTGAAGGAACATAGGTCATCGACTTACCAATGCCAGTAGCAACTACCGTGGTTTCTGATGCAGAAGGCTTATCAATAAATCCTTCAGGCTGTACTGCAAGATCCTTGAGGCCTAGGTCGCTCGAGGAGAATCTCCTCGGTGGAAACCATGGTGAGCCTGCTACTGACTTCTTCATGAACAACATCGCCGAACATGGCCCACGATCACCTCTCGATAGCACTCTTACTAAGCCTGGCCTTAGCGAGTTTCCAAATCCAAGTGGTGGTCGTTATCTTGACCTTGTTTCCTTTGTCGTTAAACTTGTACTCAATCACCTTGATGACGTCCTCGTTTGAACCGATTACCATACAGGGCGGTAGTAGGAAGTCCAGATCCTCCCCGTGGTCCTCGTCGAGCTCTCCCCATCAAATCTTGTTCGAATGCGAGGGGTTCTGATTCATCGCTGAAGCTGGTCGATCCAAAGCCATCGCCATGACTAGAGCTTCTCACACCGTCACACGAATGAGAGAGAGGTGGAGGAGCATATTAGGGATAAAATTTTGAAACCCTAAAGCGGTCGCACCAACTCAGGGGTCTCCAGCAACCGAGAAGAACGGTTATTCTTGTGCAAGTAATAGAGAACTCGGGGGTCCGTTCTCGAACGCATTGATTTTGGACAAGTCTTCGGCGAGTCAACATTCTGCGGTAGGTTTTAGGGAGAACCTGAGATCGGTTCTTTGTCTCTTGTGGCATCGATCGTGGGCTTTCAGACACAATAGTCAGGGTGACTGTAAATAGAGCAAAAGAAGCAAGGGCAGGAGGAAAAGGTCGTGGCGGCCAAGTCAAGGCCCATACAGCCAAAGCCTCTACGCAAGGCAATGCGTCTCAAGGAGAATCAATTGATGCAGCCAAGACTGGGTTAAATGGACTGAGTAGTGAGCAGTGGAACATGTTACTCAACCTTTTGAGTGGTAAGCAAAAATTGACAGAATGGATAATAGACACAGGGGCCTCTCATTATATGACAGGAAGCCTCGAGTCGATGAGAGACATAAAGAATGTCATTCCGTACTCTGTCGGGCTACCAGACGGGAAAGCGACAATAGCAGAGAAATAAGGCATAGTTGCACTGGACGATCATCTGAAACTGACTACTATTTTATATGTGCCTAGTTTGAAGTGCAATTTACTTTATGTATCGCAATTGATTGAGGAATCGAATTGTATTGTCTAGTTCACTAATAAATTCTATGTGATACAAGACCACACTACGAAGATGCTGATTGGAGCGAGTGAGCAGCGAGAGGCACTCTATTATTTCCGGAGCATTGCATCAACGAGAGCAATGAAGACTACAGAGAGCGAGACGTGTGATATTTGGCATCAAAGGTTAGGGCATCCTTCTTACAGAATTGTTAAATTGCTGTCTTTTATTAGTACAAAGAATAATAATGATGACAGTATTAAGGGTTGTGATGCACGCTTCCGAGCTAAACAATGTCGAGAAGAGTTTGTTTCTAGTAATAATAAAGCATCCGAYATTTTTGAGTTAATTCATTGTGATTTGTGGGGTCCTTATAGAACCGCAGCTTCTTGTGGTGCTCATTATTTCTTAACCATAGTAGACGATTTTTCTAGAGGCGTTTGGATTTATCTTCTGGTTGATAAGATAGAAGTGGGACGAGTTCTTCGAAATTTTTTTGCTATGGTTCAAAGGCAATTTAACAAACCTGTAAAGGTGATCTGTACTGATAATGGGACTGAGTTTGTATGCTTGGCTAGTTATTTTGCTGAAAGCGGTATTATTCATCAAACCACTTATGTCGGGACCTCTCAACAAAACAGGAGGGTTGAACGCAAGTACCGCCACATACTCAATGTTGCCCGAGCTTGGCGCTTTCAAGCCAGCTTGCCTGTTGAATTTTGGGGGGAATGTGTCCTCACCGCATGTTATTTGATCAATCAGACACCGTCCATTCTGTTGAAGGGAAAGACTCCCTATGAAATGTTATTTGGGCGACCTCCTTCTTATGATAATGTGCGAGTTTTTGGTTGCTTAGTGCACAATCATGGACATGAAGGGGATAAATTTGTAAGTCGAAGCAGACGGCGCGTTTTTGTTGGGTATCCTTTTGGAAAGAAATGATGGAGCTTGTATGATTTAGAGTCCGGCATGTTCTTTGCATCAAGAGATGTTACTTTTTTAGAGCATGAATTCTCGTATGCACACAAGGAATATGCACAACCGAACAAAGCACAAGGCCAATTTAATTATGGAATAGGTGGGGCAGATGAGGTGTTGGTACCATCCATTTATTTACCTAGACTAGCAAATGGCGAGATGGAGGCTAACCAGCAAGGTGAACTCACTAAAGAAGGAGTCCATGTAGAAGAAGGAACCCGCGTAGACCCGAATGCAAATGCTGGTGAACCCATGCATTCTTGTGACGCCACCACAGAAAATGCAAGAGAATACGGTCCTAATGTCAGGGGGGTGGCGATGTTGGGCAACAACAGCACTTTGAATTTCAACAGCAGCACTCTGAACTTCATTTGGGGCGTGGGCATCGACAGAAACAACAGTCCACAAGGCTAAGAGATTATGTGCTTCACACCACACAGCGCTTGAGTCCCTCTCTGCGTCCCTTTGCAAGCTCACTCGACCAATCATATTTTGCAGGTAGTCCTTATCCCATAGATAACTATGTGAACTGTAACAATTTTTCTTGTCAACATCGTGCTTTCTTGGCAGCTATTACTATAGGAGTTGAACCTACTTCTTTTACTGAGGTCATAAAGGATGAAAAATGGAGGGATGTAATGCAGAAAGAAATACAGGCACTTGAAAATAATTAGACATGGACTCTGGAGCCTTTGCCATCCGGAAAACGAGCCATAGGATGCAAATGGGTGTATCGGATCAAGTATAACGCTGATGGGACAGTGGAAAGATACAAAGCCCGTCTCGTGATTTTTGGGAACAAGCAGGTTGAGGGAATTGATTATAATGAAACTTTTGCCTCAGTTGCAAAAATGGTTACTGTCTGTACCTTCCTTGTAGTCGCAGCAGCTAGAAATTGGGAGCTTCATCAAATGGATGTACATAACGCATTCTTGCATGGTGACCTTCATGAGGAAGTCTACATGTGAATGCCTCTTGGTTTTCAGTCGGATAAACCATGTATGGTGTATCGGTTGCGAAAATCTCCGTATGGCTTGAAACAAGCGTCGAGATATTGGTTTGTTAAATTAACCGTAGCTTTGAAGACATGGGTTTCGGCAATCATGTTCAGATTACTCCCTCTTCACCTTTCGTCGAGATAGGGTGCATGTGCTTGTTCTCATGTATGTGGACGACATTATCGTGTCAGGTAATGATCGTATGACAATTCAAGTCTTCAAGAAATATTTGAGTGACTGCTTCCATATGAAAGACTTGGGACCATTGAAATATTTTTTGGGCATTGAAGTTGCCCGAAACTCAACAGGAATTTTTCTGTCTCAACGTAAGTATGCTTTGGATATTATCTCTGAAGTTGGATTACTTGGTACAAAACCTGCTCATTTTCCTCTGGAGCAGAATCACAATCTCGCCTTGACAGATGGGCCTCTCTTATCTGATCCTGAGCGATACCGGCGCTTGGTGGGCAGGCTTATTTGTCTCTCAGCAACTCGTCCAGAGTTATCTTATTGTGTGCATGTTCTGTCCCAATTTATGCAGCAACCGCAAGAAAGACATTGGGAGGCTGCACTGCGAGTGGTGCACTACTTGAAAGGAATCCTGGTCAAGGAATTCTCTTGCATTCAGATTGTGACTTACAGTTATATGCATGGTGTGATTCAGACTGGGCGAGTTGTCCTTTGTCCCGACGTTCTCTGACTGGATGGTTTATTCTGCTTGGGAAATCGCCTATTTCCTGGAAAACTAAGAAGCAACACACTGTGGCTCGTTCTTCAGCAGAAGCAGAGTATCGTTCTATGGCCACGACCACGTGTGAATTAAAATGGCTGAAGGGATTGTTATTGGCTCTTAGAGTTACGCATTCAAACCCAATGCGATTATATTGTGATAGTCAGGCAGCCTTGCATATTGCAACAAATCCAGTGTTTCATGAGCGTACGAAACATATTGAAGTTTATTGCCATTTTGTACATAATGAGATTCAAAATGGTTGCATTCGCCCTGCTTATGTGTCGACTACCGTTCAGTTGGCTGACATTTTTACAAAGGCACTGGGTTGCAAAGAATTTGAGTACTTTCTCCACAAGTTGGACATTCACAATCTGCATGTTCCAACTTGAAGGGGGGTGTTAGGATTAGGAGTCCGTTCAATATTATCTTGAAGGGGTGTTATGTTTGAGTCAGTGTAAAATTAGGAGTTTTAGTTAACACAGTAGGTTCGGTGGTTATATATATACTTGTATTGTCAATGAATAAAAGACAGAAAAATAAACCAGAAAAGCTCTGGTTTTACAAGAATTTACACAACCGAGAGTGATGAATGAACTTGAAACTGATTTTGACTATAATCTATTCTTTTCCCAACTTAAAACAATTAATCCAAAGGAAACTACTCTTCCGGTCCTTAGTCATTTTTAAGGAAACTTGTGGCCACGATGGGACTTCTCACCACATGCCTGCCTCCTACTTCTACCCAGTTGAGAGAACCATGGACCACACCGCTTTCGACAGACCCTGGACCCTCCAATGTCAGTTTGTAGCTTTGTTTCTCGTACTTGTCTTTGAAAACCAGTCGGTCTGGTTCAACTTTCAACCGAAAACCATCAATGGGTGTCAACTCCGCAGTATATTCTGCCATTCCATCACCCACGTTTGTCACCGTCCTCCGGAATTCTCTGATGACTTTGGCATCTGGTGGCAAGTCGTCCCGGAGTAACGCAATGAAGGAGGGGTAATTGAGATCCAAAGATGGGTTCAAACAGTTGTGACCAGAAGAAGACCTGGTAATCTTATTCATTTGCTCTCTGGTGTAATTCAAGGCACAGAGAAGCCTCGCGTAGTCTTGTGCATTGGCGTCATAGATAAGCCCGGGGTCGAGTGCCTTGTTTGGGTTAATGTGACCCGCTCCCATTGACAGTGGAGTGGCGGGTCGTTCTTTATCCACAACTTGGGTGATGGGACCCAGAGTATTGTCCAATGAATCTGCTGTGGTCATCATGGCAGATCGAATGGCCGCGGGGCTCCATTCAGGATGGGCCCCTTTCAAAAGTGCTGCAACTCCTGCTGCATGAGGGCAAGCCATGGACGTCCCATATATGATGTTGAAGTTGCTAAACAACTGTATGGATCCCTCGTCTACTACTGGGCTGGTTGGAGCCCATGATGCCAGGACCAAGGAGCCCGGAGCCATGAGGTCGGGCTTTAGAACGCCAGGGCAGCTAGAAGACGGCCCTCTCGAGCTGTAGACAGCCACTCTAGGTGCCGGCTTAATTCCAACGCGCGTGCTGTGGAATTTGAAACTGGCTCTTGGGTCTGGGCTTCTCTTAATGTAACCCAAGATGGCTTGGCCCTTGTTACGCCCTACAAAAACCCCAGGAAATGAGATTTGGATGTAGGGTTCCAATTCAGGACCTTTGTATAAGAATATCCCTCCAGCTACCCCTGCTTGTCGAACATTGTTGATTTGTTCGCTTATGGCATCCATGTCTGGAGACTCGTTGCGATTGTACCCAGCCGTGCCTTCACAGACGACGATCTTATTGTGACCAACTGCCTTTAAGTCCTGCCCATTTGTGCAGTTGCCCATGAAAACGAGGGGCAAGTTGATCAGCGAATGATTTCCATGGTACAGAGATGCACCCGACACTGAAACACCATTGCCCATAGTAACGATTCCGCTGAATTCACGATCGACTGTACCTGAAGCAACAGTTAGTAGCCATGGTGCATCGTTGTGAAGGGTAAATCTGAAAGGTCCATCATTTCCTGCCGATGCGGCAACGAAAATGCCCTTCTCCATGGCTGAAAAGGAAGCTATGGCAATGGGGTCTTCATACAGAGACAGCGAGTATCTGCCCAAGGACAACGAGATGATATCGACACCGTCCGCAATTGCTTGGTCTATGGCTGCAATAACATCAGATGCGAAGGTGCCTGTTTCCCAGAGAGCTTTGTACATGGCTATGCGTGCTTTTGGGGCCATGCCTTTGGCAGTCCCTCTGGCGTAGCCAAAGTAGGAAGCGCCTTCCACGTAGTTGCCGGCGGCTGTGGAAGAAGTATGGGTTCCGTGTCCGTCAGTATCACGAGGGGAATTCATCGATGTACTGAAACTGGGTGTGTTGGCAGCCAGACCTTTGTTGAAGAACCGAGCTCCAATGAGCTTCCTGTTGCACATAGAAGAATTAAAATCAGTTCCGTTCATACATTCTCCTTTCCACCGTTTTGGTACTTGAGTCATTCCGTCATCTCTAAAGGTGGCACTCTCTGGCCAAATTCCGGTGTCGACTAGCCCAATTATGACATCGGCGCCATAATTTGATGCCGGCCATGCACCATAGTCGGAGTTCAGACCTAGGAATTCAGAAGTATGGGTTGTATCAGCTGCAAGAGGCACGTCTTGAGTGGAGGAAACATAACCCGGTGAGCTTTTAAGCAAGTCGAGCTCGGAAGGGGAGAGAGCTGCAGCAAATCCATGGATGGCATTGCTGTAAGTGTAGATAAGTTTAGAGGCCTTGGAGGTCGTAGAAGCAACAGCATAAGTTGCTTCAGATACAGAAGAAAGCATAGCCATGTACCAACTATCGTGGCTACTGAAAGTTTCAGGCATGGCGGATAAGTCCATGTGGACGATGTACACATTTGATTGTGCGAGTATGGAGGAGAGGCATGAGAAGGTGATAAAAAGGAGCAAGTGATGCACAGTAGTGTCCATGAATGAGCGAACAATGAGAAGGGAGTACTGGATAGAAAAACTGTATGGTATGAACTGTCTAATCTATCTAAGAACCCAAATGGATTTATTTGCAGAGAAATGAGAGGGGGGATTAGATTAGTTGAAGGGTTCGTCTTTTCTTTTTGATCAGACATGCAGATGCAGTCATATATGCTAGGTACTTGGGTTCCGTGTGGTACAAGGGTTGAGTGTTCAGAGTCATGCTATGCTGGGCCGGTCATAACTCATAAGGTTGATCAGGATTCAGGACCCTCATTTTGGGCCTGCAAGACATGTGAAAGCCATCCAGCAAATTCCAAAAAATACCACCAATTGCGGAATATAATGGTTTAATTTGGTCTCTGCCATCAACACAAACAGAACCTTAATTAGGAACAAATGAAATGAAGAAAGCTTGGCAGTTGGCACCTTCCTGGAAGTAGTAGCCAATTAAGCTAGCTAAGGGAATCGCCCATTCTGTGTCCAGTGTCTGTGGATTAACTAGGGTGAGCTGCTAGTGCTAGGCCACATCTCCCAGGTTTAAAGGAAACGTAAACTTCACATCATGATATGGGTTAATACATGGGCCTGGCTTTGATGTTCACCGATCACCGGCCGGCGGATGGTCAACCTCCCCTCCTTTCAAGGAGCCAAATTGAATTTCCAATTAAGTAAATCCTTCCAAATGTCTTAATTGCAACTCTCCTTTAGGAAGAAGGAAGAGGAACCACGTGAGTGGTAGCCACCCCACCGCATTTCTTTTCTTTTTTTAATTAGACCGTGCTTCGTTCGATTGTGGCCGGAATGAAAAGGTGAGGAGGTGAGAATTGGGATGTCCCGTGGAGCGGTGGAGGCGTGGACTGACTGTCGGAGCCGCTACTTTCCAGTTTCCATGTGCTGTTTGCCTCCCAAATTAATTGATGCGTAGAATACTGAAATTAAAGTAGCGGCGTGATTGTGGACTATATAGTCATTCCATTATGATCTTATCCACTAATTGCGGAGTTTCAAACACAGCTTGAGCTTAAGGCTCCTTTTCACTCACAATTTCAGTTAAATTTGGTTTTGGGCCCTGTTTGTTTGCCTTTGTTAAGCAAGTAACAATTGTTAAATAATTTAAGACGTTAGCTAGGGTGTCTTGGCTTTCAATTAGGTAGTGACTAGTGTCGTAGGAATCGAACTGTGGCCCCAAAAAGTGGTTTGGCGTTTTTATATTCTTTTTTAAAAGGAAAATTTGGGATAGTATTCTTGGGTGGTGATTGTGAATTTCTGACTTTTCTGATCATTTGGGTCGACAAATTACATTAGCATGCAATGCAAGATTCAAACTGAACCCTACAAAGAAAAAGCTTTTTGTCCATTTCAGGAAGCTTCATTTGATTGTCTTTCAGTAACAACTAACAAGCAGCAGTATTTCGATGCCACATCAGCGCCTCATATGGCATTGGAACATCTTCCGCACATACATGATCAGGATGTGCTGTGGGGTGCACCCCAACGCTGATGTTGTGAACTCCAGTATTTCTGTCTAATTGTTCAATTTTGGATGATATTCTAACGCCTAAAAATAAGGAAATCGATTGGTCACATCTGTGCCCCATACGCAGCATATCCAAATTTCAAACCGTTCTGGATATCTTTCCGATGCATGTTCAGATGTGTATGTGGGGCGCAGATGTAATATCTAAATGGACGAGCATTAGCTGAGATCACACTTACACCTCACAAACATTCCACATGCACATCTCAGTCTGCATTGGGACATCCCCCGAAATTGTTAGTGCGAGATTCAATGTTTCCAATACACAATTGAGATATGCTATGAGGCGTAGATGTGAATTGACATCATAACTAAGTTGTGATTCGGTCAATAACAGCACCATTTTCCTTGAAAACGTTATTAAGGGGTGTTTGATTTGAAGGAAAAAAATAGGGAAAGGAAAGGAAATATAGTAAAATCTTTGCAAATCTTGTATAAATTTCTTTATATTTCCCTTCATTTTCCTTCAAAGCAAACACGGCCTGAGGGAGAGAGAGCCATAAGCGTTTTATTGTTTGAATGGAATTACTCTAATTAAGGGCTTTTATTAAGAAAAAAATATCATTGATATCGTCGGTCAACATGCATAGTCCAAACAGAACCCAAACAACCAAACCTTATTGGATTCTCTTGGAACAAATTGGCTTCGGCTGCATGTGCTATGACCTATGGGCACATACATAATTGGACCGAACTCCATTTAGGTTCCTGTTGGATGCACATGGGGTAGAACTTAAATTCGTACCACTACCACTCATACATTATCCTTTCCATCTCTTTGATATTAACTGCAGCCATTCCACCGTCATTAAAGCAGCCCGGGTGCACTTCGAATCACAAACAAACATGTCTTGTATTCAAATTGTGGACTCTGTCCCATTAGATTAATCTTTTATTTTTTGAAACTTAAAAAAGAGATAAAAGTGAAAAGAATCCAAATTGTGGACCCAAAGTCTTGCCGACTTTCTACTCCAAATGAACTCATGATGAAACCCTAGAGCTATATACCATCAAGTATATCAACATTTGGAGAAGAAGACCTCCTTTCTCAAGCTTCAACCAAGGGTGAAAAATCCACAAGAAAATACTCATTCGCGAGTTGATTCCTTGAATCTTCGCAGTGGTAGGGAGTTGGATAAGATAACTAATTTGTTATGATTATGATAAAGATTAGATAGAGAGGTTAAAATGGGTTAGAATATATATATTATGATAGAGTTTTTCAATTTTTATCTTTATCTTTTTTATCTCCCTTTCTTTTTTTAAGTTTGTTTGTAATCCTTTCAATAGTGAAATGCAATTTATCATCATATTTTGAAATCTTTCATGGTATATGATGTTGCAAGAGTTAGCCGATCTCCCAATTTAAAGACAGTTCGGACGGACGGGCTGATGTGGCCGGTCTATCAAACTGCAAGAGTACTCGGGGTGATGATGAATTCGGGCTGGGCACTCCAATACTTAAATTAACAATGAGAGTGTTGAGATTAGAGAGCATGAGAAAACAAAGAGTGAGTAAATTGCAATGCGCTTACCTTCTATGAGGTCCTTTTATAGGCATGGAGGTCTGTGTTCTATGTCCGAGATATCCCGGAACGGACGGCCATATCGGTCCATTATCTTTGGAGTGCATTTCTTCCACGTTGACGTTGATCCACACTTAGACTCTCCAAAACATGCAAGGAACCAGGGACATGTGTATCGAGTAGGCATTGTGCCATTTGACTCTGAACTAGACCTGTTCATAGGCCGAGCCGGGCAGGGCTCGGGCCAGGCCCTCTTTATCAACAGAAAATGTGTAAGCCTAAGCTCGAGCCTGAGCCTGGCCCAACCATTGGGCCTAAATCTTGAGCCCAAAGCCCGACCTGTACACAAAATGTTTTATTTTTAGTGTACTTTTATAAACTAATATTATATTAATTTATTAAATTAATAGACTAATTTGTATTTCCTAATAGTAAATTAACATTTATTAATAATTTAATAAATATATATATATATATATATATTACATATATTTATTATATATAACATAAATGTTTTTTATTATATGTATAGAAATGGCAACGGG